TATGTATGTGTATATATATATATATATATATATACACACACACACACACGTAAATATACACATACACGCATATATATACATATGTATGTACATACATGTGCGCATGTCCACACGCGCAATATGTATGTGGACTGTTGCGGAACGAGGCGATGTCAATTATTAACAAAGCGGATTCTTTTCACGAGCAAATTCGAGATATCCGCAGACTTTTCGTTTCTACCGAAAAAATTTCGCTATCAATCACATCATTGTTCATTTCGCAACATCCTGTATATATGATCAAATACAGTGGAAACTCGATTATATCGAATACTATCTGGCCGAACGTTTGATCATTCGAACGATACGGGAAGAACGTGCGATTATTCCGACGGGCGTTTTCCTCGTGAAAACGATCGTTCAGATAATCGTCGAATGTTTCTCACACCGTTCACATGATTAAATATTTGATTAAACATCATTCGGATAATCCAGATTCCGCTGTGTTACATCTTAATTGTACTTTTTATATTCCGATAGGACAGTTCACAGATTCGTCGAAAATACGACCTATGCTATCGGGAACTTTTCTATAAGATTCAACAGCTTGATTTATCATTGACATTTATCATTGACATTTTCTCTCGAGCGGCTCTGTCCATTTTATCTGATTCCGATTATCTCTTTTACTCCGTATCTATGACTCTCTGTAATCCTCTGTAATAAATATCATTTATATTCATATGATTATATTTATACGAATAATTATTCATATTTATGCGACTTACATGAAACAATCGACTCGACTTGATTTTTCATTTTACGTAGAACAAGTAATGTTTAATTACCGAACATGAGGTCCCGTACTTTCTGAATCTTACGACCGGCTCCCGAATGCACTTGTCAACCTGTAGGTGTGTTGTGATTAAAGTTTCATTATATACTCGTACATATACGTAAGACAAGTGTACGTGTCAATCCGAAACAACCAACACCCCCCGAAGAAAAACACCGCCTATATTTGAATGTGACCGTGTAGTCTTCTGGGTGTAGGATTAATTGAAAATACGGCACTATATCGCTTTCTTTCTTTTTTTTTTTAGTTATATCATATTGCATGCGATTGACATTATCATCATCATTGTCACACAGCTGCTGATCATCACACCCCGTGCTTTTTACCGCGGTCAGCTTTGGAGGAACTATTCCATTGGAGTTAGTCGTATGGGGAAAGGGAGCTAATGATACAAACAGGCGGGAAGCCGATACTCTCTCGTTCGGCAGTGTGTGCTTTTTCTTTACTTATAGTTGTCTCGAGCAGGAACGCGATTTAATGCAAGAAAATATAAAACTGAGACGACTATCGCAGAGCAGAGTCGGGCGAAATGCAATCGGATCAGCTAATAAGATCAAATCAGCGTGATTATCGAGTGGCAGACAGTCGCGACTTTAATCACCTTACAAGATATTTGCGTCAACATGCAAATCATCGTTGTCTTTAGTGAAGAAATAGACGATCACACCGCCGAACACTGCTATCGAGTCGACATTGACAAATCTAATTCAGTATTACTGTTCCAGGGTAATATTCTTTTCTTTGGACTGCTAACGTTACACGAATAACATAATAAACATATGTTGCACAATATATCGATGTTACTATGTTAGAACTACTACTGACACGTCACTTATGCTGCTATACTTCACTTCAATATTCTTCTTCTTTTTATTTTCAAATCATTCATCGAATCGACAAACAAATCAAGTCGCTTTAACTCAAGCTTCAAGGATAGTATTCATAGATGAAAGTAATTATAAAATAATGATCTCTGATAACAAACACATTTAACAGTTAACTGCATAAATTATGTTAATATTATTATTGACTTTTTCAAATTTTACTAATTACTACTTAATTATCATTATTGATTAATTGTAATCATTCTCAAATTTGTTTATTATATATTATACGCATGATTATCCATAGTAAGTAAATATCCTTCATATGATGATTAATTAGAATTTTGCTATGACATGTTATTTTTCACAACATATCATATAACAATTAATTATCGAGATGACATAACGCCCAAGAAAATATATTAAATGTTTATGAACGCTTGAAAGAAAAAGCATGACAGACAGCTAGAGATTCATTTCATCGAAATTATAATTCTTTAGCAAGTAATGACTATGAATACGTTCCTAAACTTTATAAATATCGATGGGTTATTAAATTTCTAGAGGGGCTTGAAATTAATGCTGAAATTTGCAGAATGCAATTCTCATGTCATGACGATCGTAGATATAAATGTCGACATAGCATAGTATCGGCTGTATTTGTGGCCGAGGTATAGCAGCAAGCACCGATAGAGGTCTGGTAGATAAGGTACATAAGATAGAATGACAGACAAAGTATCAGAGAGAATTTCTAGATAAATGAAAGAGGCAGAGAGAAGTGGAGACAGGCTCTCGACAGAAAAATATTACAATCCCGGTGCAATCAAGTATGTAAAGAAACACCTGCAGAAAGATATCGCATATTTATTGGAAATATATACGTAACTCTTCTATTATTATATTAAATATAAATTCTCTACCAAATTAATTGTTAATTACAATTGTTTAAGAGAATTTCTACCGAATATTTAATTTCTGAAATTATATATATACGAGTTAATTATCGTAAAATTTAGATTTTATTAGATTTTACTTAAATTAAGCGGGATCATCTATGAAATATCAAACGAAAAAAATATTTTAACCTGATAACAAATATTGAAATTTTTCCATATATGAATTTCCATTTATAAGTTTTTCCGTATATAAAGTGAAAAACTGAAGAAAGCTTTCCGTAATGATATCTTTTCGTGCACAAATGTTAAATTTTAGAGTTATTTTATAACAGTTATTAAAACAATGATACAAAGTAATCTAAAATTTAAAAACGATAATACGTCTATTATAACTGATCGAAATACGCTGTACAACACCTGTTTCAAATGCTGCACACAATGGAAGAGAAATCGATATCGAAAAGGCATCGCATCTCGCACCCGGAAACAACGTAAGATTTATCTCGATCGACTCTCCAACGAAACGACCTCGCGAAAAAAAGGGGGGGGGGCAGAAGGAGAACGGAGAAATAGATGGAAAATATAACAGAACATGACAAACAGAATGGAATAAAAATGATACAGACAACGAAAAGAGAGAAAGAAAGAGTGAAAGAGAAAGAGAGAGAGAGAGAGGTTTACTGTTACTTTGGTATTACTCTGTACTTGCATGCACAACCACGTACACTGTCCAGTCTACGGAGCAACCAGATACCCACTTTCGCCATCTGCGCTTGGATGCCCTTGGCGACCAGTGCTTTCACAGCACCCTCTGCCGCCATCGGTGACTCGAAGTCTACAAATCCGTAACCTGCAACATAATCATGATGGTATAAAATTGTCCCGCTGATAATCATTCATAAGAAAATAAATGTTTATCGTTTATGATCAGAATTCGCGGTAATATCAATTAAAAGAAAAATAGAAAATGTTAAAACAATGAATTTTAATTACTAAGCTACTAGGAAGTTAGAAAACACTAAGTATGAATAAGTGTTAATTACCTTTACATTTGTTTGTATTTTTGTCTAAAATCGCCTTGGTGGAAGTTATAGTTCCGTACCTGCAAAAATATCGGGTTTTGGTCTTATGTATTTGCATAATCGCTATTTACATTCATTACAGTGTCAATAAGAAATAAATTATGGATGTAACTTATTGTTAATAAACCACCAATTATGTAATAGTTGATAGATTTTAATTTCTATCTTTAGTCAAATATATTATAAAATAAAATATATTTATGAAATACCAGTTCAAAGTCAAAACAGTTGCTTGATAAGCAAAAGGGTTTGAAGCAATTCGAGTTTGAATCCCGACATTATCATATCATGTATACATTAGAAATTTTTATTGAAATAAAAAATATTCTATTGTATGTAAAAAAAAGGGCATGAACTCGATGGCATATTGTCACATTTATATTAGCAAGATATTCATTTTCTTTTAGAGAAACTCTCTTCTTTTGTCGACAAAACTATCTGGATTCACAATAATACGTTGAATAAAGATCACGTGCTGTACAACGTGCGTTACAACGTTACTTACTGAGAACACATATTAACGAGGTCTTTGTCAGTCGTATTCTGGTTGAGGCCACGGATGTATAGATTCGTTTTAGATAGCTGCTCTGCTTGTTGACCCTGCATAGCATTGTTGCTGAGATTCGTGCTCATCGTCCCGCTTTGACTGCCGGTAGCACTACTGGAGCTGCTATTAGTGTTCGCCGGAGATGAAGCTGTAGGCACCCGTTGTCCACCATACTGCAAGCATCATCAATACTGTGTGATAACTGAAGATGTTCGGGAAAAGTCAAGGGCAATTAATTTTACGCAGAATATGTCGTTTTTACCGAATCGACCATTAGTTGATGCAGCATGTATTCTCTTAAATTCGCATTGCAATAGGCTAAATCGCATATTTGCATGAAGTTGGCATTTCGCTTTTAATACATTACATAATCGAAAATTAATGGTAACAAAATGCGAAATTTACTAACTTCACAGTAACATGTACACAAGTACAAGTGTCCAAAAGATATATATATATATATATATTTTTTTTTTTGAGATTTATTTACCGCATTTCGTAATTAGAACTCATTTGAAAATGCAGCAGAAATTTTTAACAAAATTTTTTTTAGAAAGCAACAAGAACTCTACCAATTGTACTGAAATTCGAAAAATGAAAGTATCACAACATCTCTCATAGTAACATTAAAAATATTATAAATCTGCAATATATATCCCCTTTCTCGGTACAATTCAGTAATTTATAAATGTCATACACAAAGTAAAATCAAAGTCAATCACCTCCTCTAGTCTCTTTTATTCTATCTCTTGCCGCGAAATTGTCTCACGATTACCGCCAAGTGACCAAAGCTCATCAAGTTCTATCGCTAAGATCGGGAAATATAATGACAAAGTGTGCGACTTACCGTCGCGTGTTGCGCGTACGTGGCGGTAACGAAGGGATTCGCGGATGCTGGCAACTGCTGAGGACCACCGCCGACCGCGGCGGCCGCCGCTGC